TGTTTTTGTTCTGTTGGACATCCTGTTTTCTAGGATCTTCTGTCATTGCTAGTTCTTTTTTCTGTGCGATTACTGTGGTTTGCTTTGATATTGATCTAAATGTTTTTGTTGCGGATGCATAAGATTTATTAGGTCTTGGATGATTAGAGAGAACAAATCTTTTGGCTTCTGCAAATGATATCTTTTGTGTAAATTTAATGTTTCGAACTTGAATTTCTGTCTGCCATTTCGGACATGATCTTGAAAAAGCTGGGTGCGCGCCTTTACAATTTATACATAAGGGAGCAGCAGAGCAGCCTTCACTGGCATGGCCTACGATGGAAAATCGAGCGCACGTTAGGCTACCGCGACAAGAGGTCTTTCCATGTCCAAAGCGCTGACATTGGACGCAACGCATTGGATTCGGTATAAACGGCCTGACTGAACAGTTTAGGTATCCAGCTCTAATGTTTTTAGGCAGGTTAGGAGACTTGAAAGTAAGTATGACATGTTTATTGGGAATGAGTTGACCTTCTTTCCGTATTTTGATCCTACGAGCACTACACACGTTTTGATCTGCCAACTCTTTCACAAATTCCTCTTCAGTTACTGACAGTAAGTCTATTTCAAAGATTACTCCTCGGGACGAATTTAGAGTGTTATACGGCTTAACTGTAATGTTTTCTTACCCTAATTTAGTTAGTTTCAAAAGACTATTAAACTGCTTTCCGGACACAGTTTCTATCAAAAGGTCTCCAGACCGAAGTCTCTTAATATTTTTCAGTTCTCCTACAGAAGACAAAAGATGTTTGTTTATTAGAAAGGGTGACATTTTTTAAAATTCTTCAGAGCTGGTTATAATTAAGAAACGTGGAGAAAAAGCATCTGAGACAGTGCTTTCTATTTCGCTTCTTAGTCTTTCGGTCACAATCGGAATATCGGGTACATTGTTGGAGCAGGAAGGTAGCGTTCATATTTAAATGGAAAAAGATTCGGGTTCGACCGCCCCATCCACCATGGAGCCCAACAAGGAGACGAAGATTCCTACGCCAGGGCTAGACAGACCTATACGCAAACATAAGTCCCACAGTCGGCTTTCCAAAAGCAGGTACTCCCGAGAGCTTGTACCCAAGCCACTGACACAAGGACTAGTGACCAGCCGGTTGACACCTGTGAGAACAAGATGCCTCCCGTTTAACTGAAGCAGAGGCCAAAGCAGTGTGTTGGGACAGTACCTCGCACTTCAACGACCAAAACCCTCCTTTCCAGTCTCCACGCACGGCAAACACGTGGGCAGTTTTCTCGCCACTCAAAAAACTAGGGACAAGGCTGTTCCAGTTTCTTATGACGAGCCCGAACATCAAAAGAGGAAACCACAAGGGAGAAGGAAAACGAGAAAAGTTGAAGTTAAGAGGAGAGGAGGCAGAAAGGTGAAGAGATCACTGGGGCTCCAGGATTGTGAAACCCGATCACCAAGACAGTAATCCCTTGAAGGATTTTCACCTACTATGCTTTAGCTGGGCATGCTGGAACGGCCTTCACGCCTAGAGTGGCTCTACCAGGAGCTATGCTCCCGACGTACTTCGTCCGTTCCGCCCAATCACACCCTCCCGCCACGTTGAGGCAGCATAGCAGGACTTGGGGGGCATTTCACGCTGAAAACTATAAACGGCGAATAACTTTTGAAATTGTTGCCACCCAATATTATTGCCCTGTAGGTTTCCGCCGATAACATCGCGGCAAAATCATCGCGGGCGAAAACGTCGCGGAGAAAACAACGCAAGGCGAAAACTTCGTGTTACAAAGCATCGTGGGAGAAAACATCGTGGTACAAAATATCGTCGTCGAAAAGAAAGCGGTTCGAAAACTTCGCAGTTTAAAAACATCGTCGTCGAAAATATCGCGTTAAAAAATAAAGTATCCACAAATCATCGCATGACGATAACATCGCAGACCTGCTTTTTTCAGGCTTTTAATAATTGTAAATGGATATTCCCATTATGATTTGTGAGCGCAAGATGGAAAGAAAGATAATTTTTACTTTCATATTTTTATTAACTAATAAATTTTGCTGAGTAAAAGTAAGAGGGAAACTTAATACTTGAGAATAAACTGAAGCAGAACAAGAAATAATTTTCATTATGAGTATTAGATTGACAAAAGTGAAGAAATAATATCATAATTAGCAATTTTTTATAGATAAGGTCATGCAGTTACGTAGCTTCCTTTTTCTAAACTTTTTTTAATTATACTTTTAATGAAAAATTACCAGTAAAAACTGTATAAAAATGATTTATTAATGACTTTTGTTAGTTAACTATGTCAGTTTAAAATTCTATTAAGTGCTATAAGTTGCCTTAATTTTCTATGCTTGAATTTTCTTCTTACTTTTTCAGCAAAAATTTATTAGTTAATAAAACATTTGAAAGTAAAGATTATCCTTCTTTCCATCTTGCGCTCACAAATCATTATGGAAATACCCATTTACAATTATTAAAGCCTGAAAAAAGCATGTCTGCGATGTTATCGTCATGCGATGATTTGTAGATACTTTATTTTTTAACGCGATATTTTCGACGACGATGTTTTTTAAGCTGCGAAATTTTTGAACCGCTTTAATTTGGACGACGATGTTTTGTATCACGATGTTTTCTCTTTGCGATGTTTTCTCTCACGATGTTACGTTTTCGCCTTGCGTTGTTTTCTCCGCGATGTTTTCGGCTGCAACCCGCCCTGTATCATATTTAAAGAAATTAAATAATGAAGAATCTGCATGAATGTATGTATGTTTCTCGCTTGCGATAAAACGACGGTACCTAGAGCCATCAAAATTTGAATAACGTAATCTTCCACATAATATGGGCATGTGGAAGCCTTAATTTGAATTTGAAATTTGTTTTATTATCGATTTCATATTTTGTAAAACTTTAACGAATTTTTGATTAACAAACTCAAGGATTTAAAGGCGAGCCATGGCAACACTCTACGGAGGAAAAAAAAAAAACCTTTTTATCTCCAGCGTGCGGAACTGCGTATAGGAAATTCTAAAGATAGGCTCATTTTAAAGTTATTTAGCGACATTGCTATTGAACTGAATTTTGTGGTTTAAGTGAGAAGAACATGATATTTAAGAAATAAAGATAATTTACAAAATGTTTAAAAAAAAACACCCCTTTGGACGTAATTTAAAATCTGAAACCTCTTGTTTTTTTTTTTTTTTTTTTTTTTTTTTTTTTTTTTTTTTTTTTTTTTTTTTTTTTTTTTTTTTTTTTTTTTTTTTTTTTTTTTTTTTTTTTTTTTTTTTTTTTTTTTTTTTTTTTTTTTTTTTTTTTTTTTTTTTAACCTTCAGTTAGAGTTTGATCGCAGAAAATTTCTATCAATTGTCCTTTTTCTTCAGGAGATTTTGGAATTTAATTGTTAAAAATATTTTGTTTTGCCTTCTTTGTAAAAATGCTTTGCATACCACCTATTTTTCTCTTGCGTACCACCGATTGAGAATTGCTGACATGCATCTGTATAAAGTCATCAACTATAGAAAAGTTTTCCAACAAAAAAAGCAAGTAATCTAATAATATATTTTGTAGGATTCCTCACTCTTCCAGCTTAAGATAAACGTTGCGGAACCTAGCGAACTGTGTAGCGACTTATCGCTGAGTTCAAACAACTAAAGATGTAGACTCGAGAAGGGTTAAAATACCCTTTATTTCACTCAACTAAGTCGGCCCCTTTCTCTGGCTTACAACAAAGCCTTGACTCCGGCTTAAACTCAGAATAAGAAATGAGAATTAAACTACAAGTAACTAAGAGAGACTTAGTCGAAGCTAACACAAGTATCTAACGTAGTTGGCCCTTAATTTAAACCAGCCGGCGAATATCAAAAGGCTCGTAATATACGGCCGAGCGTAACAACTTCAAGAGAGACTTAGCCCGAAGACAAACGCAAGCTAACCAGAATTCCTAGCACTTTCTCTCTCACGAAGTTAGTTGAACCTTCCTTAAATACTTCTTCTAACGCATTTGCATTCAATGCGATTCTAAAAATCCTTCTGGTAGGGAGTTGTAAGTGGAAATAAGAATTGATAGGAGAAGTGATCCAAATTAAAATTAATGTTATAAAATTAAAATATACCTTACGAGTTTTTAAATTTAAGCTTTCCTTTAAAAATAAACGTATAGTTTTATTTCCTTATATGGCATTTTGACAGATTTTTAGCTACTTGCTTGCATATAAGGGAAGCGCCATATTCGGGGACTGCCCCGAGTGGCGAAAGCTCTAACCATATCACTGCACTTGTACTCCAATAAAACACAAGCGTATTAAAATAAATTTTTAAAATTAATTTTAAAAAATTTGTTTTAATTTGAAAGCTTTCAGATTTTAAATTACGTCCAAAGGGGCTTTTTTTTAACGTTTTGTGTGTTACCTTTATTTATTAAATATCATGTTCTTCGCACTTAATAAAATCCAATTCAATAGCAAGCAATATCTCAAAATAATTTTAAAATGAGCCTATCATTAGAATTTCCGATACACAGTTCCGCGCCGCTGAAGATAAAAAGGTTTCTTTTTTCCCGTAGAGTGTTGTCATTGCTCGCTTTGAAATCGTTGAGTTTGTCAATCAAAAATTCGTTAAAGTTTTACAAAATCTGAAATTGATAATAAAACAAATTCCAAATTACGGCTTCCAGATGCCCATATTCGGTGGAGGGATTACGTCATTCAAAAATTGATGGCTCCAGGTACCGTTGTTTTATCACAGTGCGAGATACATGCATCCAGTCATGCAGATTCTTCATTATTTAATTTCTTTAAATATAATGCAAAGCTGTGATATTTGTTGGCAACAGTTTGAAAAGTGAACCCCCATTTATAGTGAATCAACGCAAAATGCCAAAACGAAATTAATAGTTCGTCTGGGCAAATTGTCCCTTTGGATTAATAATTTCAATTAATTAAAATAAATTATTTAAACAATAATTTAAAATTACGGAACCATTAACATGTAAAGTTCTCGACTTACCTGCAATGCCAGTATTCGCGATTTCGGATAACTACTCATGAAACAGGAACAGACGCTCGAAAGACCGTGAGCGTCTTCTGTTACACGAAGCACGGATTTCTGGAAAGGAAGAAACAAGAAGCTTCATTACAGAATCTACTTTTGTATTTTGAACACATATACAGTGTACTCTCGATTATCCGGGAAAGCAGATGATGAATAATTGCAAACGACCAATTTTCATGGATACTGTTTATGCTTATTTCTTAAAAAAAAAATAGTCATTTTAGTTTGTTTTTGAGAACGTTTAAATATTTGTCGAATTTCATTGCGTATTTTTCGAAGTGCTATTATGTACACTCAAACCTGTTTTTTGTGCTATTTTTTTTTTTTTTTTTCGGTGTATGAAAATTTTAATCAAATTGGAACATAATTGACGAAGTTATCAATAAAAAATGTCATTTTCTTGCAATCGATGCCAGTTCTGAAAGAATTTTAAAATTCCAAAAGGAGTTTCAATCTTGTTCGAAGTGTGACACACACACACACACACAAAAAAAAAAAAAAAAAAAAAAAAAAAAAACATACTAAGGACTAAGTGTGTAGCTTGAAAAAAATGGAGTTGGTGACATCATCCCACGCATCTCCTTTATCCATGCGGCCAGTTTGGACTTAAGCAATCACACCAGTTGAGAGTACTGCGTCATTGAGTGAATTGTGCAACTGCATTCTGCCGGGAAAAAAATGTCTAATGTAAAAACAGAACAGCGAATTAACATCGAGTTTCTTGTGAAACTTGAGAAATCAGCCAAGGAAACATTTTAAATATTAACGGAGGCTTATGGACGAGAAACTTTGTCTCGTGCACATGTGTTTGAATGGCATAAGCGGTTTTCAGGGAGAAGGGACAAAGCACGCATGTCAAAATCAAAATTCAAGGCAATGTTAATTGTCTTCTACGACATTAATGGAATTGTAATAATTGAATGGTTTCTCACTGGTCAGACTGTTAATCAACACTACTACACTGATGTACTAAAAAGGCGTGAAAAAATTAGGGAAAAAAGGCCACAGTTGTGGAGTGATGGATGGCTGTTACACCAGGACAATGCACCCGCTGATACGGCCCTATCTGTCAAGCAGTTTCTGACCAACAATTCTTGCAATCTTGCAATCTATGCCAATGCTGAAAGAACTTCAAAATTCCAAAAAGGAGCTTCAATCTTGTATATCTGGCTACCGAGACTTACACAAGTGTCTAGTGAACCAACAGTCGTTGCAAACACTGATACCGACTACATGGTAACTAAAAAAAGTCAACTCTAGACCAGCGGTTCTCAACCTTCTGACTAACGCGAACCATCTAAACAAGAATTGAAAAACTTTAGTACCACCACTACATTTCACAATGATTATTTTTCAGTTTCTCAATAGAAATTTAATATATATATATATATATATATATATTATATATAATTGCCATTTGCACTCACTGTTGACTCTGTGTATTAAATATGCACGCATAAAAATATTAGATTAAAAATTAGTTACCATTTTAATTATCAAAATTTCAGTTATAATATTTAAGTCTAAAATTTATTATGAAATTTGGGTCCATTTAAGAGAGATAATTTCTTTATGTCTGGTCATATTTTACTTAGCTTTAACCGTAAATTAGGATCCACTTTTAATTTTGTTCTGTAATTTTTTTTCTCCAAATATAATATGGAAGAATATCCTAGTTCACACAAATAGGTTGTACAAAAAGGGAATAAAAATTTAATAGCTCTATTGGAAATGCTATTAAATTCTCTTTTACGGTTCAGCCAAAAGTTAACACGTGTGTTTATTTTTGAAACCTACACTTAGTCCAATCACAGAAAATTTCTATCAATTGTTCTTTTTCTTCACGAGATTTCTGAATTTGATCGTTAAAAATACTTTGTTTCTTTGCGTACCGAGACTTACACAAGTGTCTAGTGAACCAACAGTCGTTGCAACCTATTTTTCTCTTGCGTACCACCGGTTGAGAATCGCTGCTCTAGACGGATAGTGGTACCTTCAAGTGACCGAAAGCGATTTTAAATCAGTTTACCACAAGAAAGTTCGGGTAGTGTCAGACTACGGAGGATAATGGTTATACGCTTTGAAAAGTTTGTATGTAAATAAAATATTTAAAAATGATCGCATATGTATTTTCCAAATCGGATCCTAAAAGATTTGGCGAGATTCCGAGTATAGCTGCCGAGCCTCGTGACTTAATTTCATTTAAAAAAACAATTCCCATTTTTTTCCTAAGGTTTCGAGTTAGCTTCAACGCGAGACTTTTTTTATGTTGTTCATATTAACCGCATAAAAAGTACTTTTTAACTGTATTCCGAAAACTATTTTTTATAGCTACTCGTGAAGTTTTGTGCGATTTTTTTTATGCGATCCCTATCCACCGCACAAAAACAGGTTTGAGTGTATATACGGTACAACTCCAATTATCCTGAACTCTGAATTGCTTTCAGAATTTAAGAAAACAAGAGGGAAACGTAGTGTTGGACAATCAACGATTTCAGACATTAAAAGGAACTACACTTTTAAACTTCGTATTACTGCTTGAAAACGAAGATGGAAGTTCTTTAAGAAAATCAATAAAGGCAACAACAAACAAAAATTCAGAAGATGTCGTTTTTAAGTGGTTTTGCAGCAACATGCTACGGGAAGCGTAATAGGCAAACTGCACATTCAGTTGATCAATGTTAAAAAAATTTCGCATGCTGCGCATGCCCAGAAGAAAATTTGGCGCAATTATGGCTTTGGTATGATTTTGAAAGAAGATAAATACGGTGTGTGGTTGATATTCTGTTACCTGGGCGTAAACTATTCTGTTATCTGGGCGTTCGGAGTTTTCAAACTTGTTAGGTTGTAAGATGCTTCATTACTTAGAGTGCATCGATCAAGAAGATAATCGTGCATACAAAGTGCAAATCGTTCAGGCCTTGTTGCCCAGTGACAGTACACGTCGATATGACTTTGCGGTCGAAATGCTATCACGTATTGAGGACGAATTGCCTTTTCCGACGAAGCGACCTTTTTTGTTAGTGGAGTAGTGAATCGCCATAATGTGCGCATTTAGGGTTCACAACCCCCTGGCGAGGTCATGGAGTGCACCAGAGGCAGTCCAAAGGTGAATGTTTCATTACTTAGAGTACTATTGCACGATCGAACTATCGGGCCATTCTTCTTCGCTGAGGCTACCATCACATCTGCAGTGTATCTGGACATGTTGCAACTGTATGCTGTTCCTCAGCTGCTTCAGTATCACCCCGATGTCTTGTTTCAGCAAGACGGTGCACCGCCTCATTGGGGTTTGGATGTCCGTGCCTATCTCGATATGACCTTTCTGGGCGATGGATTGGTCGTGATGGGCCAACGGTTTGGCCTCCACGCTCTCCTGACATAACCATTAGACTTCTTTTTATGCGGTTATGTCAAGGACGAGGTCTACCGAATACGTGTACCAGATCTTGAAACCCTGAGGCACGGATAACCACAGTCGTTGAATCGATCCCTCCAGTGATGTTGGCTAATGTGTGGACGGAAATTGAATATCGCCTAGACGTGCTACGTGCTAAAAAAGGGTGCTCATGTGGAAGTTTACTGATGTGTGAAAAGAACTTTGATAGTTTGTAAACAATTAGACACCAGTTTCATATTTTTATCTTACTTCTAGCCTGAATTATCAATTTATGTAATCAGGGAAAGACTTTTCGGACACCCTGTACAGCTTTGGTATATTTACCACGACTTCTTCCCAATTTGTTAAAACTCCGAATTCTTCAAGGTGTCCCACTCGAAAGAGGCCCCTGGAACATTGCGATAAAAATCTAATGACAAGAAATGGAAGCAAATTTTTACATGACATACTTTCACTTACGAGAAATGAAAACGCATTACAAGAGGTGCTGGAAGTGATCTACACACACCAGTACACACAGTTTAACACAGCACTTCATGTTCGTGTATGCTGCTGCCACACGTTTGGGCATCATTTTACTACAAGGCTTATAGGGCCGTCAAGTCAATTCAAGAAAATACTGATGCAGGCAAAAGGAAAGGAAAAGAGAAATTGCTGCCATCATAGAACATAAATTCGAGGCTATGGGACGCAGAAGAGATACGGTTGAAAATAAAGTTGGATAAATTCAAAAAACATTTTCTGCTGTCGAACGGCAAATCGAAAAAATAATTTCTACTGTCCAGCAACAATTCGAAGAAAGTGCTTCTACTGTCGAACAACAAATCGATGACAGAGTTCCTGCTGCTGCAGCTAAGGAAGTTTACAGCTGAAAAAAATTCACTATGATAGCTGAAAACAATTCTGACGGCTTTAAAACACTATCTGAAACTATCCACGTATGATGAAAAGACCTGCTGGTAAGTGTAAAAGATTCAATTCGCTTTAGTGGCGAATGCAAAAGAGTGGGATTCCGAAACTAAGGCCTGCAGTCTGGCCGCTTGTCTGAGAACAGATGCAACGGATACCTTTCAAACTCTATCCTAAAACCATAACATAAATTTAGAAGCTCTATCTGACTCGTTGGATCTGCGCTTTGGCAAGAAACCTTTAAAAGACTATAGCAGGCTTCAGTTAAAATCTTGCGAACAGATGCCCACGGAAACACTTGAGGAGGTAGCATCGGCTGCTCGTCTCCTGTATCGCCTTAGCCTTTTCGAACTGACCAACAAAAACAAGCAAAATTCTGTTCTGAAGAACTTCGTCGATGACATTCAGGATCCCGAAAGGCTTGCGGATATGAAGGATATAAAAGCTCTTTACGTTACGCCCTAAAATTCGAGACAGCCCAGCAAGCAACCCACAGAAATCGCCACCCAATCAGAGATGATCAAGCCCAGAAGCCAGTGTATCAATTGACCGGTCGTCAACACGATTTAGCCATGGAAATCTATGTCTTGAGGCGGAGAAAAAGTGGCAAAATCCGACCCTAATGTGCTCGAACTACCTTGGGAAGGCCACGTACGAAGGAACTGCAGACCACTTCAAGACACGGAAGCTAAAACCGTTCTCCAGTAAAGAGGCGGGGGAAAACTAGTGGCCATCTTGCAGGGCGGAGGTTGCCAGATATTGAGAAGCCCCATTTAAAGAAGAAGCTTCAGTTTTCCTACCTAGATCCATAATTGAAAATAGAAATTTCCGGTATGGCATAACGGATTATCCTAAGAACTCTAACAGCCGGAAAAGAGCATTTGTAACCTCGGCATTTGTCGACCTATCAATGACGGTCATCCCGGTGAGAGTTGCAAAGTCATCAGCAAAAGTCGAAGTGGTTGCAGCATGTACTCCAGTGGTGACCTGCGTTAAGCAAAACAGTAGTCATCTAAAGACTGTGCCTTTGAACAGGCTATTATTCCAGTGGACTACGCAGTATTATCCCCGCAGTGGATCAGCAATCCTAAAATCAAGTTTGCATACCAACAAGGAACTGAAATAAGGAGATTTCATAACAGAATTTGGGTGTGAAAATGCTACAAGGCGCTGTCGGAAGCCTTCGGTTGGCATAAGTCGCTCTTAGCCGTGCGAATTTCGAGCGACATGCATCGCTAGATGAAAGCGGAGATTGTCGATTTGTATTTTATGTATGAAATTTCAGATAAAACGAAGTAGCCACTCAAACGGCACAAAGGACGATTCCGAAGTACCTTGCGGGGGGCCACACAGAGATGAGAAAATTGTGTGTGCTGTCCCCGAAAGTCACTGTTTCCAAGCTTTTACAATGTGTCACACCATATGTTCTACCATCGCAGACGCAATATTTCGTTTCAGTTGACAGTACAAGAGACATAATCTCACAACCAGTGTCAAGAGATTTTAACGTTCTGTACTGTGTCTACCGTCAAAGCCTCTTGATTTTAAGAGGGCTGACGAACCAATGATCTTGTTTTTCTTCTGATATCGTTCCAGAGAATCAGAGGATGTAAAATACTGCTGAAAAATTAAGGAAGAGTGGATAAATTAGTCTGAAGATTTTTTTTTCCATCGGAACAAGACTTCAGAATTCTCCTGAACTCTCGACAAGAGAGACACAGAATGTTGTTGATCTCTCGGCAAGAGAGACCCAGAATGCTACTGAAGTCTCGACAAGAGGCCCAGAATGCTGTTGAACTCTCGGCAAGAGAGACCCAGAATGCTGATGAATTCTCCGAAGAGAGACCCAGAATGCTCCTAAACACTCGACAAGATACACCCAGATTGCTGTTGACCCATAATGATCTTCAACTCTCGACAAGAGAGACCCAGAATGCTCCTGAACTCTTGACAAGAGAGACCCAGAATGCTCATGAACTCTCGATAAGACAGACCCAGTCTGCTATTGAACTCTCGGCTAGAGAGACCTTCGTCGGCAGTTCCTCACGTCACGAGGACTATACTGCATTTCAAGAACTGTTCTATGCCATCCCTGAATTATATATATTTGTAAAGAGCTTCTCGTAATTGTAATAAATATGTTTTGAGTTTAAAATTTCAGTAAGTATTAAGCAACTTCACAAATGTGCTAAAAGTATGTGGAGTCAGATGCGCTACCTGCCGCCGGGCACCCACCACAACCTCTTTTAAGCCACTTGCTCCGTTCTGTCGTATATTTATAAACCAGGCACACCAATTTAACTAAATATCAGAACTTGTTCCACAATATTTACATTAAACGCATTTCAAAAAGCTCAAATTTACATCTATTTAATGAGAACTTAGAGATGGTGAGTATCATGTTTATTTACACATTAATATATATTTAATTATAATATTCTTTCTGCAGATTTCAAATAAACAAATATTTTATCACATCAAAGTTTAAAGGAAAATGAATCTAACATCTTTCACCCCACAAAAGCAGTTAAAGTGTTCGTAAACTATGTTCAATAGCGTTCGACATATCTTCAAATGCAGCAAAACAGATGATTTTTGTTATCACAGTGAAACTGTTAGCTTGCGGACAGAGAGACAGTTTTGCAAGGCGTCAAGTCTTGCACTTAGTATTTGAATGTTGTTAGATGAACTTGGCACGAAGAAATATCTTGTGAAAATGGAAGCCCCCGGGCCAAAAAAGAAAAAGCAAATTTTTCTAATACATGAACTGGGAACAGCTAAACAAAGATAACGAGGATAGCACTTCCCCCCTTCCCTGTGAGTGTGATTTGTTTCATAAACACAAAGACTTGGGGAGAGGAGTAAGAAATCTTTTCTGACATATTATTTCCATTTATATTTATTGAAGTATTTTCTGACATATTTATAATATACTGTTGCGTGCGTACGGATTCGTAATAGATTGAACGCACAAGTCCGATAAAAAGTTAATAAAATTTATTCTATCACAAGAAATATAACAAAATGCTAGAATTTTTCTGAAAGATATTCGTACAATATCATGCAATATAATCCGTAGCTATAATTTAAACTACTAAAACATTAAATAGAACGCAATCCAAAGCGCAGAGAAAGCTAATACGATTTCACCGCGAATTCGCTACATCAACAACAACAGTTATCTAAACAACAACTAAGCTGAGATGTTTCCCTCCGGCTTTTATAGCTTTTTAAATCATCTGCGCAAGACAATTCTAGAAATTTCTGGAAAGCAAAAAAGAGTAGAATTACGGTTACAGCTAACATAGCAGTCAATTACATTTATTCAAATTAAATATCAATTACAGAGGTAAGCTTTTATTTTTCAATGTTTAATGCACGTGCTCTCCTATTTTTACTTTTTCGACGTACTAGCTTTCTCTCAAAAGTCGTCACGCGCTGCATTGCAGGGGGGAGGGGAAATATAAATTATAATTCTACTAAAAATGTTTAACTAAATACGAAATTCGTAACAATACTTACCGGATTCTGCATCGCATGCTTCAGACACAGCAAGCAATCGTGTTGGTTGCTCTGAAATGAGATTTTGGAAAAGTTTATAATAAGTGGAACAATGAAACAATAAACATATTAATTCTCAATTTATAGTTATCTTAAATTTTAACTATTAATTTATATACACTCTCAAACCGGTTTTTATGTGCCTTTTTCTTTCTTTCATTTTTTTTTTAAAAAAAAGCCCAAAGGGCATTAGCCCAGAAGGGCTATTAATTTCGTTCGTTTTGCGTCGAAAACTTTAAATGTCCGTTTCAACTTTTCAAATTGTTACCTAAGTTATAAAGAGCCCTATGTTATATTTAAAGAAATTAAATAATGAAAAATCTGCATAAATGTATGTATGTTTCTCGCATTGTGATAAGACAAAGGTACCTAGAGCCATCCAATTTTGCATAACGTAATCCTCCACCAAATATGGGCAAGTGGAGCCCTAATTGGAATTTGTTTTATTATCTACTTATTGTCAGATATTAAAGAATTTTTTATTAACAAACTCGATGATTTCAAAGCGAGCAACGGCAACACTGTTCGAGGAAATAATATTTTTATCTCCAGCGCGCGAGAGTGTGTATCGGAAATTCGAAAGATATGCTTATTTTAAAATTATTTTGCGATATTGCTGCTGAATTGAATTTTATGGTTTAAGTGCGAAGGACATGATATTTAATCAATGAAGGCAACACACAAAACGTTAAAAAAACGCCTCTTTACGCGTCGTATAAAATCTAAAACCTTTCGGGTTACCCCCCCCCCCCGTGTTGCGATTTTGCGTTGGTTCACTCTCAATGCCCGCTTCACTTTTCAAACTGTTGCCACCAAATGTTAGAGTCCTGCATTGTATTTGAAGAAATTAAATAATGAAAAATCTGCATAAATGTATGTATACTTCTCTCATCGTGATAAAACAACAGTACATAGAGCCATCGAATTTTGAATGACGTCATCCTCCTATGATTATGGACATGTGGAACACCAAATTTGAAATTTCGAATTTGCTTTATTATCGATTTCCTACTTTGTAAAACTTTGACGAATTTTTTATTAACAAACTCAAAGATTTAAAAGCAAACAATGGCAACATTATATAGAGGGGGGGGAAGCAAAAAGAAAGAGAGAGGACATTTTTATCTCCAGTACACGAAACTGTGTATCGGAAATTCTAAAGATATGCTCATTTTAAAATTATTTTGCGATATTACTCTTGAACTGAATTTTATGGTTTAAGTGTGAAGAACATGATATTGAATAAATAAAGGCAACACACAAAATGTTAAAAAACACCCCTTTGGACGTAATATAAATCTGAAACCTTTCAGGGATGTTTATTATTTAACTTAATTTTATTTATTTTTATTTAATTTCATTTATTTTTATTGTTTGTTTGTGTGTGTTGCTCGAATTTTTTATGTGGTGTATTAAAAAATATCCATCATTATGCATAATATGAATAAAAAGTAATAAAAATTTGTAAAAATTCCAGAATGAGTTTCGATCTTATATGTCTGGTTACCGCGACGTATACAAGCGGCTAACCAGACAAATGCCGTCGCAAAAAACTGATCACCAAACATGTCAATTCTGAAAAAAGCGAGGAAAATTCGTGTTTTCCATTATGAAGAATAATTTTTATACGTACATTTTCAAATTTTCATATTTGTAATATTTAATGTATAAGAAAATAAAATATTTAGAAATGTGTCTGTGTATAAATTAATTTTTGCCTTCTTTGGAGAACCAATTTCTGGCTACATCATGAAGACTGGAGTTATTTTCGATGTTGGACTTCTTTATGCGGTCCCTATTTACCGCATATTTTTTACTTCCTTGTACGAAATAAAAAGGAAATATTGTAATCGCGAAAAATTCCAGCACCGTATTTCAACGAAAATATCCATTTTGACCGCTATCGAATGCAATTTAACGATACTTTTGCGTGACATCCGTACGTAAGGACAGGATAAAGGACTCTTTTCTCCCCCAAAAAATTATAAAACTGATATAAAATGAGTTCTGAAGAAAAATTTTCGTGGCGTCTGCGCGTACGTACATATCTCGTAGAACTCAAAAATAATTAGCCTCAGATCGTTGAAATTTTGTACATAGGGGGACTGCTATAACATCTAGATGTGCACCTCATATTTTGATTGCTATCGGCCGTACCAAAAGTATATAAATATATGTATATACATATCCACTCTGTTACTCTGCTCAGTGTGATATCAGTTTCTTTATTCTTATAGGTTTGTAAATTGTGCAATTTTCGCTTTAAAAATGATTGAATTATGCGACTTTGATTAAGATTCTTATGCCTTTAGTTGACCTGAACCCAAAAAATTGTGGAATTACCAACAATTTAAAAGTTTTTTAAGTGCGACTAAGCCTAATTATTTTTCCATGGCAGCCATGTTTTTTACATTTGAAACTTAGCAGAGTAGTGGATTTGTTGCCAATCTAGAGTAACTGAGCTTCGCAACAACAAAGTAACGTCATCTTTTATGATTGCGAATTAAATTATGCTTAATTCATCCTTGAATTATCATTTAAGCTGTTAGCTTTTTTTTTTTTTTTTTTTTTTTTTTTTTTTTTTCCCGTAGAAACTGTAATTTTAATTGTAAAAATTTTTTTAACTATACTTGGTGTTTCATGTTTTTCTATATCTTTCAAATTTTCATGAAGATATTTTGAATTTTTATGTATTTTTTTCTTGCTGCGAAGTGAAAACTGAATTAATTAGTACCATATGCGCATTAGGTAAGCGGCTCTGAATCGTCTGTGGAAAACCATTTCTTTTATTTTTGTTTAATTACTTTTTTACATCGTTTTAGATTTATTATAGTATTTGAATAGAACTTGTGGTAATTCTTCAGACGATATAATTTTTGTGCACTCTCAGTTATAAAATGAATGAGATGTTAAGTGAAACTAGTGCCGAAGTGTCGCTATAGTAAATAAATATAATGAACTTGAGTGCATTTATTTTATTGTGGTTTATGCGCTATAGACGAGAAGTAGATTTAATTAAAAAATTCGTTGACTGCTAATTCAATATGTTTAAATGAAATGCAGGAAAACTGCGTATAATTTAATATTTTGTACAAGGAAGTCATGTGGTGTACACACCACAATTTTTTTAAAAAATATTTTACAAACAACAATTCACAACATGCCTACTTGGGAAATTTCAGACAAATTTTATGCGTTTTCTGTTACGCGATTCCTATTTCCCGCAAGAAAACAAGTTTGAATGTAATGTACAAACGCGGTACTTGTCTTCTATATTGGCCTTGGGCAAGAATGTTGATTTGGTGAGTTTCTCCATTGGCGAGAATTAAAGGGTTACCTGATTTGCGCATGAGCGAGGAATAAATGATTAATGATCTAATTGGTTTTTCGTGACTGCACAAAGTAGCGTTTTTCCATTATGTTTATTATTTTCGAAAGAAATAGTAAATTTTAAAGCATTTAAAGTACTTTTCTGTTATCGGGACCGGATTCAGATGTCGCCAAATCTGGCGAAAAATCCAAAGCATAAAAATAATCGCCAAAATATTTACGATACAGTTGAATTCCAAGAAAAATCCAAGGAAAAATAACGTTAACAGATACTCGTAGAATTAGAAATTCTTAATGTAAATTAAACAACTTGCCAATGAAATCGGGGGGGGGGGAGGGGGGGAATTTCGTGAATTTAGATTAACGGGGAGGAAGAAAACTCGTACCACTTAAAACGTTTCTGCATTTTCGGAGGCTGTTGCCACTATATAAACTCAATTAAGAAAGAATCTGATTCATTACGTTCTTGACAATTAACTTGCCATTTCGCCCCTGCCCCATAACTTTTATACAGTTTGCCTATGACAATCAGTATCGGAATCGATGAAATTACATTTATGGTTAATGCAGAAATGCTAAAATCCGACCTCTCTTTGATTCTTCAGTGTTAATACCCTTCGAAAAGTCTGAGTATATTATAATGCCATTAATAATATATTCTTTCAATAACTTTAAGCAAAGTTCTGACACAGCTTTTAGTGACAGAGCAAAAAACATTCTTTTGTTTCTCGGAAAATCCAGCCGCACACCCACTGGGGCGGAAGGATACGACCAATATCGTTTTTTCGATGCAAAAACAGACTTTCGTCAACTTTGACAATATGGTCAGCGTCGTATATTTTAACTGACGGTGTAAACATTAATGCATGACCATAGACTTCCTTTATATAACTGTTCCAATCTAAAACAGTGCAATGATTCATATCAGTTTGATACTGACCAAATTCAATGGAAGTTAACCCTAAATGCAATGCATAAATGAAACGAACTAGGTTAAGAAATTGATTCTCGATCTTTCAAACCAAAGGTGCATTTTTTTAACGTTTCGTGTGTTATCTTTATTTATTAAATATCATGTTCTTCGCACTTAAAACATAAAATTCAGTTCAACAACAATATCGCAAAATAATTTTAAAATGAGCATATCTTTAGAATTTCCGAAACAGAGATCCCGCGCACTGGAGGTAAACATGACATAGATAATAAAACAAATTCCAAATTCATTCCAAATCAGGGATTCTAGATGCCCACATTCGCTGGAGGATTACGTTATTCAAAATTCGATGGCACTGGGTACCGTTGTTTTATCACAATGCGAGAAACATGCATACATTTATGTAGATTCTTCATTATTTAATTTCTTTAAATATAATATAATACAGGGCTTTAATAGTTTGTGGCAACAGTTTGAAAAGTGAATTGACGCATAATATCAAAACAAAATTAATAGCCCTTCTGGGATAACATCTTTTGAGCTATTAACCTAAAATTGATTACGACCATGTCGACAGTACTGATATTTATAACATTCTAGATCTTTCAAAAATTATTAAATTCCAAAGTTTTAATAAACTTAAAACTGATCTTTATCTAAGCATAAGAAACGTTGGAAGCATTACAGCGCTACAACAATGTGTTGTATGGATATAAAAGTAATAAAAGTAGTATGTAACACGTAACAAA